AAAATATATATATATATATATATATATTGAAAAATAAAAACAAAAAAATTATACTTTAGAAGTTAATCTAGTATCAAAAGCGTTCGATTCAGCATGACACACAGTCCTTCGAAAACACCACACAAAAGTGCCAGTGCTGCCAGCTAAAACATACACATCAACAAAAAAAATATTGGAGTAGCCCAAGATATAGCCACAGTTTGCAACGCCACAGCACTAGCGAAAATTTAAATTCGCCGACTGGAATTCTTTCGGATAAACGATGCTCTACTGTAGTTGCAATTAATGCTGCTTTTTTCTGATTGGGTGAAGTCGGTCGTCAAAAACTATTGAAAAACTATTTCTGTTGTGTCAAAAATGTTTTATTTATACCTAGTATAGGTATATACTCAGTGCCGGCCTGAGGCAAGTTTTAGGATGGAGCGAGATCCTATTATGACGTCCCCCTTGGTTGCCCCTAATTTTCCCTTTAATTTTCTTTACCACTGAGGCGCCCCCTAGGACTTAGCACCTGGAGCGGCTGCTCCGTCCTCCCTATGGTAGGGCCGGCTCTGTAAATACTGTACTTGCTAATACCATACCTCCAATCAAATCTGATGCTGTTTAATGTAGTATAGGAACATCTATCTCAAATTTTTCTCTTATTCCCAAGAGATTTCAGATAGACAGGTTCAACTATATATTAATAACAAATGGTAAAACTTAATGTATACTTATTTAATGCTGTTTTGTCATTCAGTTAAAATGCTCCTAAAAAATTTTTACTGAAAAAAAATCAGACTTGCACTGTAAAACATGTCAAATGTAATAATTTCCAAATGTATTGCTAATGTGATTGTCACTGCACTTTTTCATAATTAACAATTTAAATCAAATCTGTTTGCTGATAACCTATCTCTCAATCTTTTCATTCTGATCTATCCAAAAAAGGACACAAACATTAATAACTATTGACCAATTAATTTGATTCATGTTACTCAATAGTTTCAAAAAAGTACTTTATTACAGATGCTCTAAAAACACTACAAACAAACATCACTTCATACTTAGATAAGTTTAATAGTCATCAGTTTTCACAGATCTGTCTAAAACATTTGATCATGTTGAGCCTAAAACTCAGCTTAAGGCTAGTCTACATGGTCATGTAATTTGTGCAAAACTGACACATGCAATCAAATTTGTACAAGTAAATCATTGTGTGTACATAGATACTTGAAGTTTGTGTAAGCCAGAAGTTTGATTTGAGTAAAATCTGTTATGCCAGATATTTTGCACATGCAATTGACTATATAAATAGTTTTCAAGTCCAGCACATTTGCAATTTGACATTCCAATGCATCTTTACCTAGTTGCATAAACCCATGCAAATTATCAGCAACAAATTTACTCAAGCCAAACCTGTTGGCTTACAAAAACTTCAAGTTTGTTTACATGTAATAATTTACTTATACCTTGTACAAATTGCATAAACATATAAACTGGCCTTAATGTATTGAAAGTAAAGCTTCAGGCATTTGTTGTTATAGTTATTCTCTTTTCTCAGAATGTGAAAATGCTATGTAAATACTAACTCAACACTTTTGAGAATTTAGAATAATTGGAGAAACATCTCTGACTTAAGATTAGTACTGATAACTGATATATCAACTTAAATCAGAACATGTTTTCAAGAACATGATACCGAAGGAATCTCAATATAAAAATTTTGTTTCACACAACCCCACTCAAGACTGTCCTTGTGTCCTTCTTATTTAACCCCTACAGTATATAAAAACTTGTTTTCTCACTGAAAGTGTTGACTTAAATGCCATCTTGGATAGTTACTCAAATTCAAGCTTTTTCTGCATGTTTTATATATATGTTTTCAGTTCCCCTTCCTTTAATTTTGAGTTAATGTCAATAAATATAGCAAATACTAAGTCTAACTAAAATTTGGTAAAAAAGTATATTCATATGTTGTACCGGTAGTAGTGGCCTAAGACACTGCTTAAGTTGTAAAGTTCAAATGCTTAAGTTGTCAGAATCTCATGTAATTCTGACTTTCACAGGATTTACTGTAATTATTATTAATTTAGAGAAATCTAGAAGTAAAGAGTTGGCCTGGAAAGGAACTCAAAACTGCAACTATTGCTAGCTAGTCAGACGATACATATTACTGATTATGCTTTCTAGGTATCCCCCAAAGAATGTATGCTAATTTTCCCAGCACATAACTCATTTGATGCACTCTATTTCTGTTATTCTTTCTTACAAAATTCTCTGATTTTCTTGATGTGTCTTTTCAATTATGCAAGGGAGAAATACTGGCATTCAATCTACCAATGTTTGATATGAAGAGCAATGAAGTACTATCTAAAAATGGAAATGTGAAACCTTTGCTTGACAAGTTTTAGATTACAAAGAAATTCTATGGTATTAATTATAAATATAATTCACTGTATAGCTCACTTAACAGAGGTTTTGGCAAATCAGAGGGTTAAGAAATTTTTTCCCATTATCCACAAAAGGAAGTGTCCACTTAGCCAAGTAAAAATACATTAATATTCATATTACTATCTGTTCTGGATATTTTTTTCCACTAACAAGGAAACTGTCAGAGTGTCTTCTAATAAATTTTAATAAAATTTAGTTAATAATTATGTTAAAAGTATACAAACTCTATTTTAAATCTGTAGCATTCACTAAAAGTGTTGATCAGAGTTATTAGCAATGAAATGTTGCACTACTTTATAGTAGTTGAACACTATTATGCAAATTTTTAGAAGTGAAAGGGTCGCGGAGGAAGACTGCGATATTACATTTAGAATAAATTCTGGAATTTTCAAAAATGGGAGAAGATTTAATAAAATTTAGTTAATAATTATGTTAAAAGTATACAAAATTTTATTAATTCTTCAACCATTTTTGNCTGTACCTCAACAATTTCATCACTTTTTTTTTCAGTATCAGCCCCAAAACAGGAACATTCGATGAACAAATTTGCTTTAGCCAACATACCAGACCATCTTCCACATCTTTGTACAATAACTTTCTCTGGCATTATTGAGATAGTCATGACAGACCCAAGTTTCTTAATTTCCTCTTTTTTCTTCATAATTCCCACCAATGTTGTTCTTGGAAGGTTTTCTTGTTTTGCAAATACTTCTCACCTGTTTTGCATGATCACACCGTAAATGGTTCAGGTGTGTAAATTTTTTAGTAATTTCGATGTGATAAGTAATGAATTTTAAGTATATTTATATTATTTAAATATTAGTTCTTTAAATAAACATTAAAATTTCACCTTCAATCAGATATTAACAATTCAAAAATTTGAAGAAATCATTGATAAACAGGGCTGGGACTCCTATTGCCGACTACTTCCAGTAGTTGAATATGTAAGCCATGTGTAATTAGTTCATTGAAACTATCTTCACATGAAGCATCATGAGACGATTCCCTTCTCAATGACATGTACAAACAACTGGTTGTCTCACAATGATGGGAAGAATTATTGTGCAACATCCCTTCTGATAGTTAACCACATAGTGAGTTATTGTCAGGTCTTTAGAACAGGGATGGGCAATCTTTTTCTATGTAAGGGCCGCATTTTAAAACTTTTGAAATGACGCAGACCACATACAAATTTTTATATAAAATATTTTTGTATTTTATTTAATTTCTCTCTTTTTCTTTCTTTCCTCAACCAATGGTTGGTGAATGTGTATGATTAAATGGAAAACTTCAAATATATACATAAATATATTTACTCAAATTATATAATTTATTAAAATGATTTTATTTTCTTTATTGTTTTAATTAAATATAGGTGGACCAACAATGAAAATTTATTCTGTATAATAATTAACATGTATCATTGCCCAATTTAATTCTGGACAATTTATCTAACAATATATTTCCTGTCACCCAAAATATTAAAGAATGTAATTTACTTGATCCATTCTAATTAGTGTTCCCAATTTAAAGACAGATAGCACTGTTCTTTACACCTGGGAGGAATTATCCCGAAAAGCACGGAAAAATTTACAGTACACTCAACACGATGTGCCATTCTGTCAATGCTCAGAAGAAAATTAACCTGATAGATGAAAGCAAAAATAATCACTTAATAAAAGCTGCAAAAACTCCCCACATAGTTTCATTGGCATTAGGCTTCATGCTTTCTCCTTCCATGTCTAGATCCAACAATTCTCTGACACGTTTCATTGCAACTTCATAATCGTCATCCGAAAGAGGAGCAAAGGCATTTTCAAGAACATCCGATGCATGAGCTAGAATAATTAAACATAAAAGCCTTTTGTCCATTCTATGAGGGTCATTCACCCATTTACCTAAAACTGCATCTTGAACTTTCTTCACTAATTTATTTTTTGAGGTTGAATCTACCAAAGGATGAGTTGTCATATCAAACAAAACAAAATTCTGTTTTTCAGTAGTCAGTACACCTTTTTCGACTAGATTTTTTGCCAGGCGCTCCCTAACATTTCTTAGCTGATAACGAAGTTTCAAAGGATTCCAAGTTTCACCTGTAAAATAAAATATTTTAGCAATCAGCAATTAAATATATGATATTACATTACAGAATATCGTTTAAGTTATAAAAATATTATTTGATTAAATGTATATCAATAGATATTCAACGACATTTTATCATACAAGGAAACTAGAGTTGGAGGTAGTGTTTACCTGATTAGCATCTGAATAATAAAAATAATCAATGCAATGTTTTAATTTCCAATTATTATACAAATGTTCTCTTTTATTCATATTTTTACTTTATCTGCTATTTAATTATCAAATATCTTACCATACTATTTATGTTAATTTCTGGTTTTTATCTACTAACTAGATGATTATTAACATTATAAAAAATAAATCAAGACAGAGAAGAATAACAGAATACAAAAGTATATCACTTATTTCAATCAAATATTAACAAAAATAAATTAAATGGTATGATGCATACCTTATAAAATGAACATTTTAATTAAAAACATCAATTTAAATATTTTATGTACTTGCTAATTACAGATTTTCAACTTTATTCTTGTTCATTTTTAAATTTTTCATAATGTTATTAAAAATTTTCAAAGATCCCAATTTCAAAATCACAAACTCACATTTTCCTATTATCAAGATAATTGAGGTTAAAGATTTAAAATGTCTCCTGAAATAATTCCTTTGTAGATTTTGAATCAACAAAAATAAAAGTTGTAAAATATATATTTTTCCTGTACAAGTACTACTGTCATTCAGTGTCCATGGGCATCTCTTTCAGATTCAGGTAAAGTACATCATACAATAAGCATCTGATACCCAAATTATATGTATATATATATTTACTATTATTGACTTATAAAGTCAATAATAGTAATTAATTTGAAACTCTTTTTTTTTTTTTTTAATCAATTGTTGGCTTGATTTCATAGACTTGGTGATTTTTTTTAAAATGAAAATTATGTATGACTGCCAATACAAGAGTATTAAATGTAAGACTTAGTGATTTGTTTGTTGACCAGAAACTATTAAGTTAGTAAAATGACCATCAAAAACAATGTAAGATGGTGCAGTTATTGCAGAAATCATAAAAAGAGATTTAGGAATTTTGTAAATTGGTCCCTTCAATTGAAAAACTCTGTAAATTCAGTATAAGATTATTCCATTCTTATGTTATTCACATACCTTTTCCTCCAGCATACCAGATTTTATTAACAGTGAATATATTTGGCAATATTAAATTTGGCTACAAAAATTTAATATTTTTGCATATTTAGTAATAATTGATAATAGGACCTGATATTTTATACAATGTTAAGCTTAGTTCACGCTAAGTGCGATTCGCTAGCAAAAGTGAAAAACAGAGCAAATAACTGGTCAAACAAGTCATGTTTGACCAGTTATTTGCTCTGTTTTTCGCTTTCGCTAGTAAATCGTGCTCAGTGTGAACTAAGCTTTATGTAATATTACATTTATTATATTAATGTTATATAAAATATTTTTGTATTTTATTTAATTTCTCTCTTTTTCTTTCTTTCCTCAACCAATGGTTGGTGGGCAAACATGGATGTGTGTAGTTTTATAGCTTTACTTAATTTCATCAAACCAATATAAAATATAAACATTATATTGATTTAAATTTTATTTTGAAAAACAATATCCAATTTATAAAATTTCTCTAACTTAACAGAATTATTCTAATAAAAAGTTTATCAGAAGGAATATACAATGTTCAAGTATGATAACAAGCTTATAGTTTTTTACAGTGTTCTTATCTCTAGAATGCTAAAGATAAAACTTCACATTTAGACTATTATTGATTTATTTAATAATCTTTATGAACATAAAAAAATTTCAGCAAAATTAACAATTTTTTACAATAAATCAAATCTCTTATTTTCTGAATTACTTATATAAACTAAAATTCATTATTTCCTACAGTTTCTAGACACTTCATTGTTAAATACTCATTATTTCAATAGATTATTTATACCAATCATAACATAATGTTACATCAAATAATATTTTTTCGATACAATTGTTTCAATTTTTACATTATTGAAACTTAAGAAATAAATTACAAAGTCAACATCCAGGTCAAGTAATATTTTATAGATTAGCAGTTCCTAAATTATTAAGATCTAACAGCCTCTTATAAAATAAAAAAATAAAAATATTTGTCTAAGTAGTCTGGAAGTGAAGACTGCTTAAACAAACATCTATGCAATCTTTTGTGATGTTAAGTTCTAGTCAGTGCAATTTCCACTTGTTTTCCTTTAATCATTCCTGGTCAGTGACTAGCTGACCAAGAACAGCATAAGTGTTCTCCAAATCTCCCTTTGATTTTGATCCTACATATCTTTACCTGTTCCCAAAACAAAAATAAAGGGATGCAGATTCCTACAGCAACAAAAGCCATTAAAAACTTCACAAAAATTGACTTCCAGGTCTGCTTCAACAAATGGTGTCAATGCTAACAGAACTGTATAGGAACAGAAGGTTACTTTGAAGGTAATATGGTGTAAAAATTTATGTATGTTGTATAATAAAGCATGTGCCAAAAGTTCAGCTTATTTCTGACTATATATATTATGTCTGTATATAGGTATAAACATGTATAATATAAATAATACACAGGCTGTAAATGATTAATATTTATCTAATGCACTGCATCAAAAGTTCACTTCAGTTTGCAAATTGCTTTTCCTTAGTTGAATATACAAATGATTTTTATATAAATAAGCATAAGCATACATCAGTGATGGGACTGAACATGATCTTTGAGGAAAGCACTTCATATACATAGTAATCACATTAAAACTATTGGGTTGTTCGGAAAGTAATTTCGTTTTTTTTTACCATTAGACAGATTAGTTGTATTTTCCCCGCCATTTTCATTCTAAACTATATATATTTTGACAGTTAGCATTTTAAGGCTTATTTGTAAAAAATTTTGTTTGATTTTGTGCAATTGTTTATTTTTTGTGTCCAATCAAATATGGAAGATCGAAAGCAGCATTTTTGGCATATTTTGCTCCTTTATTACCGAAAAGGTAAGAATGCGCTCAAGCGAGAAAAAAATTGTGTGACGTATATGGAGATGTATTGACAGAACGACAGTGCCAAAACTGGTTTACAAAATTTCGTTATGGCAATTTCAATATTGAAGATGCACCACATTCTGGATGGCCAGTTGAAGCCAATGAAAACAAAATAAAGGTACTGATTGAAGCAAACTGCCAAATAACAACACATGAAATCACTAAGGGATTAAATTTGTCAAACTGAACTGTTTATGATTACTTGAAACAAATTGGTTTCGTTTCAAAGCTTGATATATGGGTTCCACATGTTCTTAAAGAGAGATGCTCTCTTTGGTGGGATTTTAAGAAAATTTTTTTTTGGAGCTTTTACCAGACAATTTAACAATTGATTCGAAAGTGTACTGCCATTGAGTAAACACCGACTTGGATTTTACACAAATTGCGAAATTATACCCCGACTTACACGGTTATCACTCAGTCCCATCTATCGTGTAAGTTTGGAGTATTACTGTATATGTGTTTTGGAAATGTTGAGTCAAATTAGTCTAGAATCGATTAATTTTATGGAAGAAAACCTTTCAGACAGCCGTAGTCCCTAAACTGCACACATGCCAGGCTGTGATTGGCTCATGTATTTAAGTGACTTGTGAAACACGGAATTCATATAAAACGAAACGTATCTACCATGTTATAGGGGATCTACTGTATATAAGTTTTAACCAACAAAATTACTTATTTGTTAAACTTTTCCAGCTGTTCAAGCAGCTATCATCAGGATACATAAAAGAGATTAAGTATTAGTTAAGGTATATAATAAAGTTAAAATTATTTGGACTAATTGAATTAAAATACAAAAACGCTAAAATATTAAGGAGACCTTGTATATTTTAATTGTGATTAAATGTTTTTGAGACATTTTTTTCTCATCTTCAGATCTCAGCAATTATTTCAAATAATGAAGTTCTTCAAAAATATTCTAATAGCATTATTTCAACATTTGAAGTATAGTAAGTCAGAAACTTTTACTTGAATTTTCATACTATTTGCCACAGAAAATTACCACAAAAACCTTTTAGCAGCAAGGAAATTGACTGTTATGTTGAATTAATTTAAACTTTTTTGCTCATTTAAATGACAATAATCAGGCAATCTAATAGAATCATCAAGCAAAATAATAGAATGTATAAAATGATAAAGTAAAGAACAGTGGGAGAAATGATTTTAAACAACAGTTTGTATGACTTAATATATTATTTCTTTTCATTTTTTTCATATACCCTATATATACACAGTGGTACCTCAAGATACGAAATTAATCTGTTCCGAAACTAAGATCGTATCATGAAAATGTTGTAAGGTGAATCATTTTTCCCCATACGACTACATGTAAAACCAAATAATTCGTTCCAACACGAAAAACACACTCAAATTAAAGCTAAGTAATATCAATACATTGAAAAAAATAACTTTAGTAAGCAAAACACTGAAAAATGCATTTTGTAGTTGTAAATATATAAATAACCATAATAGAATAATTTGATAATAATAGAATAATAAATTGATTAAAAAAATGTAGTTTTATTGATATTTGCACTTTACCTTTGAGGACAGATGACAGTGGAGGTGTAAACTGGTGGCGGAGGAGAGGGAGAAGGGAAATGATACTAAAACTTAACTTACATAACATAATGTAACAATTACTTAAAAATAACTTAGAAAAGATAAAAAATTAGTGTTGTTTTATATATATATATATTTTAATTTTTATTCACTTCTTTTCGCTTTCTTTCCTTCACTTCCACCAGCACTTTCACTGGATAGAGGTCGCTTGGTAAAATATCTATCCAAAGAGATTTGGCTTTGCCTACTTTTTAAAATGTTTCTAAAATGACTTAGGAAAATTTCATTAAACTGAGCAGCAATACAGCCAGTGTGAACATTTTCGGGATGTTTCTTTTCAATAAAATCAGTCACTTTCTGATAAT